GCCTGTGCCACTATGCTGCCCCATGCCACTATGTGCCCCGTGCCACTATGCTGCCCCATGCCACTATGCTGCCCCGTGCCACTATGCTGCCCCGTGCCACAATGCTGCCCGGTGCCACTATGCTGCCCCGTGCCACTATGCTGCCCCGTGCTACTATGCTTCCCCGTGCCACTATGCTGCCCGTGCCACTATGCTGCCCGTGCCACTATGCTGCCCCGTGCTACTATGCTTCCCCGTGCCACTATGCTGCCCCGTGCACGTATGCTGCCCCGTGCCACTATACTGCCCCGTGCCACTATGCTGCCCCGTGCCACAATGCTGCCCTGTGCCACTATGCTGCCCGTGCCACTATGTGCGACCCGTGCTACTATGCTTCCCCGTGCCACTATGCTGCCGTGCCACTATGCTGCCCCGTGCCCTTATGCTGCCCCGTGCTACTATGTTCCCGTGCCACTATGCTTCCCCGTGCCGCTATGCTTCCCCGTGCACTATGCTGCCCCGTGCCACTATGCCGCCCCGTGCTACTATGCTTCCCCGTGCCACTATGCTGCCCCGTGCACTATGCTGCCCCGTGCCACTATGCTGCCCCGAGCCACTATGCTGCCCGTGCCACTATGCTGCCCATGCCACTATGCTGCCCCGTGCACTATGCTGCCCCGTGCCACTATGCTGCCCCGTGCTACTATGCTTCCCCGTGCACTATGCTGCCCCGTGCCACTATGCTGCCCGTGCCACTATGCTGCCCCGTGCCACTATGCTGCCCCGTGCCACAATTGCTGCCCTGTGCCACTATGCTGCCCCGTGCCACTTTGCTGACCCGTGCTACTCTGCTTCCCCGTGCCACTATGCTGCCCGTGCCACTATGCTGCCCCGTGCCACTATGCTGCCCCGTGCTACTATGCTTCCCCGTGCCACAATGCTTCCCCGTGCCGCTATGCTTCCCGTGCCACTATGCTGCCCCGTACCACTATGCTGCCCCGTGCCACTATGCTGCCCCGTGCCACTATGCTGCCCCGTGCCACTATGCTTCCCCGTGCCACTGCTTCCCCGTGCCACTTGCTTCCCCGTGCCACTATGCTTCCCCGTGCCACTATGCTTCCCCGTGCCACTATGCTTCCCCGTGCCACTATGCTTCCCCGTGCACTATGTCCCCGTGCACTATGCTGCCCCGTGCCACTATCGCCCCGTGCCACTATGCTGCCCCGTGCCACTATGCTTCCCGTGGCCACTATGCTGCCCCGTGCCACTATGCTTTCCCGTGCCACTATGCTTCCCGTGCCACTATGCTTCCCCGTGCCGCTATGTTCCCCGTGCCACTATGCTGCCCCGTGCCACTATTGCTGCCCCGTGCTACTATGCAGCCCCGTGCCAATGCCTCCCCGTGCCACTATGCTTCCCCGTGCCACTATGCTGCCCCGTGCCACTATGCTGCCCCGTGCCACTATGCTGCCCCGTGCCACTATGCTGCCCCATGCCACTATGCTGCCCGTGCCACTATGCTGCCCCGTGCCACTATGCTGCCCCGTGCTACTATGCTTCCCAGTGCCACTATGCTGCCCCGTGCACTATGCTGCCCCGTGCCACTATGCTGCCCGTGCCACTATGCTGCCCCGTGCCACAATGCTGCCTGTGCCACTATGCTGCCCCGTGCCACTATGCTGACGTGCTACTCTGCTTCCCGTGCCACTATGCTGCCCCGTGCCACTATGCTGCCCCGTGCCACTATGCTGCCCCGTGTACTATGCTTCCCCGTGCCACTATGCTTCCCCGTGCGCTATGCTTCCCCGTGCCACTATGCTGCCCCGTGCCACTATGCTGCCCCGTGCCACTATGCTGCCCCGTGCCACTATGCTGCCCGTGCACTATGCTTCCCCGTTCCACTATGCTTCCCCGTGCCATTATGCTTCCCCGTGCCACTATGCTTCCCCGTGCTATGCTTCCCCGTGCCACTATGCTTCCCCGTGCCACTATGCTTCCCCGTGCCACTATGCTTCCCCGTGCCACTATGCTGCCCCGTGCCACTATGCTGCCCCGTGCCACTATGCTGCCCGTGCCACTATGCTTCCCCGTGCCACTATGCTGCCCGTGCCACTTGCTTTCCCGTGCCACTATGCTTCCCGTGCCACTATGCTTCCCGTGCCGCTATGCTTCCCCGTGCCACTATGCTGCCCCGTGCCACTATGCTGCCCGTGCTACTATGCTGCCCCGTGCCACTATGCTCCCCGTGCACTATGCTTCCGTGCACTATGCTGCCCGTGCCACTTTGCTGCCCCGTGCCACTATGCCTCCCGTGCCACTATGCTTCCTGTGCACTATGCTGCCCGTGCACTATGCCGCCCGTGCCACTATGCTGCCCCGAGCCACTCTTGCTGCCCCGTGCCACTATGCTGCCCCTGCCACTATGCTGCCCCGTGCCACTATGCTGCCCCGTGCCACTATGCTGCCCGTGCTACTATGCTTCCCCGTGCCACTATGCTTCCCCGTGCCGCTATGCTTCCCCGTGCCACTATGCTGCCCCGTGCCACTATGCCTCCCCGTGCCACTATGCTTCCCGTGCCACTATGCTGCCCCGTGCCACTATGCTGCCCCGTGCCACTATGCTGCCCCGTGCCACTATGCTGCCACATGCCACTATGCTGCCCCATGCCACTATGCTGCCCCGTGCCACTATGCTGCCCCGTGCCACTATGCTGCCCCGTGCCACTATGCTGCCCATGCCACTTTGCTGCCCCGTGCCACTATGCTGCCCCGTGCCACTATGCTGCCCCGTGCTACTATGCTTCCCCGTGCCACTATGCTTCCCCGTGCCGCTATGCTTCCCCGTGCCACTATGCTGCCCGTGCCACTATGCCTCCCCGTGCCACTATGCTTCCCGTGCCACTATGCTGCCCCGTGCCACTATGCTGCCCGTGCCACTATGCTGCCCCGTGCCACTATGCTGCCCCGTGCCACTATGCTGCCCTGTGCCACTATGCTGCCCCATGCCACTATGCTGCCCCGTGCCACTATGCTGCCCCATGCCACTATGCTGCCCCGTGCCACTATGCTGCCCCGTGCCACTATGCTGCCCGTGCCACTATGCTGCCCGTGCCACTATGCTCCCCGTGCCACTATACTGCCCCGTGCCACTATGCTGCCCCGTGCCACAATGCTGCCCTGTGCCACTATGCTGCCCCGTGCCACTATGCTGACCCGTGCTACTATGCTTCCCCGTGCCACTATGCTGCCCCGTGCCACTATGCTGCCCCGTGCCACTATGCTGCCCCGTGCTACTATGCTTCCCCGTGCCACTATGCTTCCCCGTGCCGCTATGCTTCCCCGTGCCACTATGCTGCCCCGTGCCACTATGCCGCCCCGTGCTACTATGCTTCCCCGTGCCACTATGCTGCCCCGTGCCACTATGCTGCCCCGTGCCACTATGCTGCCCCGAGCCACTATGCTGCCCCGTGCCACTATGCTGCCCCATGCCACTATGCTGCCCCGTGCCACTATGCTGCCCCGTGCCACTATGCTGCCCCGTGCTACTATGCTTCCCCGTGCCACTATGCTGCCCCGTGCCACTATGCTGCCCCGTGCCACTATGCTGCCCCGTGCCACTATGCTGCCCCGTGCCACAATGCTGCCCTGTGCCACTATGCTGCCCCGTGCCACTATGCTGACCCGTGCTACTCTGCTTCCCCGTGCCACTATGCTGCCCCGTGCCACTATGCTGCCCCGTGCCACTATGCTGCCCCGTGCTACTATGCTTCCCCGTGCCACTATGCTTCCCCGTGCCGCTATGCTTCCCCGTGCCACTATGCTGCCCCGTACCACTATGCTGCCCCGTGCCACTATGCTGCCCGTGCCACTATGCTGCCCCGTGCCACTATGCTTCCCCCGTGCCACTATGTTTCCCCGTGCCACTATGCTTCCCCGTGCCACTATGCTTCCCCGTCCACTATGCTTCCCCGTGCCACTATGCTTCCCCGTGCCACTATGCTTCCCCGTGCCACTATGCTTCCCCGTGCCACTATGCTGCCCCGTGCCACTATGCTGCCCCGTGCCACTATGCTGCCCCGTGCCACTATGCTTCCCCGTGCCACTATGCTGCCCCGTGCCACTATGCTTTCCCGTGCCACTATGCTTCCCCGTGCCACTATGCTTCCCCGTGCCGCTATGCTTCCCCGTGCCACTATGCTGCCCCGTGCCACTATGCTGCCCCGTGCTACTATGCAGCCCCGTGCCACTATGCCTCCCCGTGCCACTATGCTTCCCCGTGCCACTATGCTGCCCCGTGCCACTATGCTGCCCCGTGCCACTATGCTGCCCCGTGCCACTATGCTGCCCCATGCCACTATGCTGCCCCGTGCCACTATGCTGCCCCGTGCCACTATGCTGCCCCGTGCTACTATGCTTCCCAGTGCCACTATGCTGCCCGGTGCCACTATGCTGCCCCGTGCCACTATGCTGCCCCGTGCCACTATGCTGCCCCGTGCCACAATGCTGCCCTGTGCCACTATGCTGCCCCGTGCCACTATGCTGACCCTGCTACTCTGCTTCCCCGTGCCACTATGCTGCCCCGTGCCACTATGCTGCCCCGTGCCACTATGCTGCCCCGTGCTACTATGCTTCCCCGTGCCACTAAGCTTCCCCGTGCCGCTATGCTTCCCCGTGCCACTATGCTGCCCCGTGCCACTATGCTGCCCCGTGCCACTATGCTGCCCCGTGCCACTATGCTGCCCCGTGCCACTATGCTTCCCCGTTCCACTATGCTTCCCCGTGCCACTATGCTTCCCCGTGCCACTATGCTTCCCCGTGCCACTATGCTTCCCCGTGCCACTATGCTTCCCCGTGCCACTATGCTTCCCCGTGCCACTATGCTTCCCCGTGCCACTATGCTGCCCCGTGCCACTATGCTGCCCCGTGCCACTATGCTGCCCCGTGCCACTATGCTTCCCCGTGCCACTATGCTGCCCCGTGCCACTATGCTTTCCCGTGCCACTATGCTTCCCCGTGCCACTATGCTTCCCCGTGCCGCTATGCTTCCCCGTGCCACTATGCTGCCCCGTGCCACTATGCTGCCCCGTGCTACTATGCTGCCCCGTGCCACTATGCCTCCCCGTGCCACTATGCTTCCCCGTGCCACTATGCTGCCCCGTGCCACTATGCTGCCCCGTGCCACTATGCCTCCCCGTGCCACTATGCTTCCCTGTGCCACTATGCTGCCCCGTGCCACTATGCCGCCCCGTGCCACTATGCTGCCCCGAGCCACTATGCTGCCCCGTGCCACTATGCTGCCCCATGCCACTATGCTGCCCCGTGCCACTATGCTGCCCCGTGCCACTATGCTGCCCCGTGCTACTATGCTTCCCCGTGCCACTATGCTTCCCCGTGCCGCTATGCTTCCCCGTGCCACTATGCTGCCCCGTGCCACTATGCCTCCCCGTGCCACTATGCTTCCCCGTGCCACTATGCTGCCCCGTGCCACTATGCTGCCCCGTGCCACTATGCTGCCCCGTGCCACTATGCTGCCACATGCCACTATGCTGCCCCATGCCACTATGCTGCCCCGTGCCACTATGCTGCCCCGTGCCACTATGCTGCCCCGTGCCACTATGCTGCCCCATGCCACTTTGCTGCCCCGTGCCACTATGCTGCCCCGTGCCACTATGCTGCCCCGTGCTACTATGCTTCCCCGTGCCACTATGCTTCCCCGTGCCGCTATGCTTCCCCGTGCCACTATGCTGCCCCGTGCCACTATGCCTCCCCGTGCCACTATGCTTCCCCGTGCCACTATGCTGCCCCGTGCCACTATGCTGCCCCGTGCCACTATGCTGCCCCGTGCCACTATGCTGCCCCGTGCCACTATGCTGCCCTGTGCCACTATGCTGCCCCATGCCACTATGCTGCCCCGTGCCACTATGCTGCCCCATGCCACTATGCTGCCCCGTGCCACTATGCTGCCCCGTGCCACAATGCTGCCCGGTGCCACTATGCTGCCCCGTGCCACTATGCTGCCCCGTGCTACTATGCTTCCCCGTGCCACTATGCTGCCCCGTGCCACTATGCTGCCCCGTGCCACTATGCTGCCCCGTGCTACTATGCTTCCCCGTGCCACTATGCTGCCCCGTGCCACTATGCTGCCCCGTGCCACTATACTGCCCCGTGCCACTATGCTGCCCCGTGCCACAATGCTGCCCTGGTGCCACTATTGCTGCCCCGTGCCACTATGCTGACCCGTGCTACTATGCTTCCCCGTGCCACTATGCTGCCCCGTGCCACTATGCTGCCCCGTGCCACTATGCTGCCCCGTGCTACTATGCTTCCCCGTGCCACTATGCTTCCCCGTGCCGCTATGCTTCCCCGTGCCACTATGCTGCCCCGTGCCACTATGCCGCCCCGTGCTACTATGCTTCCCCGTGCCACTATGCTGCCCCGTGCCACTATGCTGCCCCGTGCCACTATGCTGCCCCGAGCCACTATGCTGCCCCGTGCCACTATGCTGCCCCATGCCACTATGCTGCCCCGTGCCACTATGCTGCCCCGTGCCACTATGCTGCCCCGTGCTACTATGCTTCCCCGTGCCACTATGCTGCCCCGTGCCACTATGCTGCCCCGTGCCACTATGCTGCCCCGTGCCACTATGCTGCCCCGTGCCACAATGCTGCCCTGTGCCACTATGCTGCCCCGTGCCACTATGCTGACCCGTGCTACTCTGCTTCCCCGTGCCACTATGCTGCCCCGTGCCACTATGCTGCCCCGTGCTACTATGCTTCCCCGTGCCACTATGCTTCCCCGTGCCGCTATGCTTCCCCGTGCCACTATGCTGCCCCGTGCCACTATGCTGCCCCGTGCCACTATGCTGCCCCGTGCTACTATGCTGCCCCGTGCCACTATGCTTCCCCGTGCCACTATGCTTCCCCGTGCCACTATGCTTCCCCGTGCCACTATGCTTCCCCGTGCCACTATGCTTCCCCGTGCCACTATGCTTCCCCGTGCCACTATGCTTCCCCGTGCCACTATGCTTCCCCGTGCCACTATGCTGCCCCGTGCCACTATGCTGCCCCGTGCCACTATGCTGCCCCGTGCCACTATGCTTCCCCGTGCCACTATGCTGCCCCGTGCCACTATGCTTTCCCGTGCCACTATGCTTCCCCGTGCCACTATGCTTCCCCGTGCCACTATGCTTCCCCGTGCCACTATGCTGCCCCGTGCCACTATGCCGCCCCGTGCTACTATGCTTCCCCGTGCCACTATGCTGCCCCGTGCCACTATGCTGCCCCGTGCCACTATGCTGCCCCGAGCCACTATGCTGCCCCGTGCCACTATGCTGCCCCATGCCACTATGCTGCCCCGTGCCACTATGCTGCCCCGTGCCACTATGCTGCCCCGTGCTACTATGCTTCCCCGTGCCACTATGCTGCCCCGTGCCACTATGCTGCCCCGTGCCACTATGCTGCCCCGTGCCACTATGCTGCCCCGTGCCACAATGCTGCCCTGTGCCACTATGCTGCCCCGTGCCACTATGCTGACCCGTGCTACTATGCTGCCCCGTGCCACTATGCTGCCCCGTGCCACTATGCTGCCCCGTGCTACTATGCTTCCCCGTGCTACTATGCTTCCCCGTGCCACTATGCTTCCCCGTGCCACTATGCTGCCCCGTGCCACTATGCTGCCCGTGCCACTATGCTGCCCCGTGCCACTATGCTGCCCCGTGCCACTATGCTTCCCCGTGCCACTATGCTTCCCCGTGCCACTATGCTTCCCCGTGCCACTATGCTGCCCCGTGCCACTATGCTGCCCCGTGCCACTATGCTGCCCCGTGCCACTATGCTTCCCCGTGCCACTATGCTGCCCCGTGCCACTATGCTGCCCCGTGCCACTATGCTGCCCCGTGCCACTATGCTTGCATGCACGGTATGCAACGCAGTCTGAGAATCGTTTCAACGAGTCACCCCAACCTCTCCTCCCCCCCCCCGCATTTTCTGTCTAACCTCACTTCCCGCCATCCAGCCTCCATGTCCAAGAGCAGCTTATACTCCCGTGTTCCTGCCGTCTCACCATCCAGCCACCATCCCCCGTGTTCTGAGTCGACTCAAAATACAACCATCCAGCCACCATCCCCCGTGTTCCTTTTACTCCCTCCTCTCTCTCCCCTCACCACCCCACCCCAACCCCCCCCACCCCTCTCCCCCCCCACCCATCGCACCACAATGGAGGCTTCTGTCTGAGAATCTCTTCAACGGCTCTCTGCCTGATTCCATCATGAATCTAGTCAGCCTCGAGTACCTGTGAGTCAGCCTCGAGTACCTGTGAGTCAGCCTCGAGTACCTGGGAGTCAGCCTCGAGTTCCTGTGAATCATTGTTGATATCTTGAGTCGGCTCTCTGCCGAGATATTATTTTCAGAACTATCATAAACCTGTCACAGCCTCACTTCTTCCACATTTTCTTGAGCCCCCCAGCCCCACTCACTGCCCCCTTTGGTTTCAGCAAAGGCTGGTTCCCTCCCCTCAACCATCTACTGCCCCCTTTGGTTTCAGCAAAGGCACTCATCTACCCCCCTCCCTCCCCCCCCCTATATGCTGTTCCCAGAGGAATGAGCGCCAACCACCTGCAAGGGCCGATCCCCTCGACCATCGGCAACCTGCTCAAGCTGACAGCCCTGTGAGAAAACAATTGCATCTAGGGAGCTGACAGGGGCTAGGGCTGCTCCTCACCGGTACGTTTTAGTCGACACAAAAACCACCAGTCAGCGAGCTGCCAGGGGCCAGGCCTGCTCCAGATTAGTGGAGGCATTAGAACCTGTCTGCCAGCTTTTAATCGGCGTTAGAACCTCAGACGTCATGTCTAGCGAGCTGACAAAAGGGTATGCCTCCTCATTATTGGTGTCTCCTCTCCCTTGCCCGCTTTCCCTGCAGTAACATGTCAGCCAACCTACTGGCAGGGACGCTACCTGCCACTCTAGGCTCTCTCAGCAAGCTCACTTTGCTGTGAGTGCTGTCGCGTGCTGTAGTGCGGTGTGTCTCACTAGCCCCGCCACACTCTGCCCCGCCACACTCTTTCCCTAAACCCGAAACCTCCTGGCGCCTCAACGCAGCTCTGGTCTAGGCTCTCTCAGCAAGCTCACTTTGCTGTGAGTGCTGTGTCGTGCTTTAGGTGCCCCGAATCACCAGCACACTTCAGGCCATCTGCTCGGTATTGTGGCACCTGAACACTCCCCTCCTGCCACTCTAGGCTCCCTCAGTAAGCTCATGGTCATATGCAATCACTCCTTCCCTAAAAGCTGTAGTCGTTGCTTGTGCCACTCTGTCGCCGCAACAGCTTCTCCCACTTGTTCTTGTTTTTCTCCCCATACCCCTGCCGACCCCCGATCCCTCTTCCCCTCACTGCCTGACTCCACCTTCCCCTGCTGGCACAGGGATTATGACAAGAAATCCTTACCCTGCCCGAATGATGGAAACTGCGTGGTGCCCCAGTCTAGCGCCACCGTTTTTTGCAAGAGCTGCCCGGCCTTCTGTGCACCGTGCTACGGGAAAGGAGGTGAGGAGAGGGAGTGGAGTTTCGTGTGGAGTCAGTGGGAGGAGGTGCTTGTAACACCGGTGTTGCTACACTAGTGCTTGTAACACGAGCGCTTGTAACGCAAGTGCTTGTAACAAAAGCGCTTGCACCGCAAGTGCTTGTACTAGTACTAGTCCAAGAACACGCTCCCAACGCCTCACCACCACCTCCTTTGCCACCTCTCCTTGACCTCAGCTGACTAGCAGCATCCAGTATTCAGTCGAGCATCTCTATGGCATTGGCAGCTCTGGTATTGGCAGTTCTCAGCCCAGATTATGCTTTAGCGTCACCTCATTTGCCTCCCCTTCGCTTGCTTGTCTTAATGCGGCAGCTTCTGGCGTTCAGTCGAGCATCTTCAAGATGCTGGCAGCTCTAGTTGTGGTTATTTTGGTCGTCTGGGTATGAGTGCAGTGCAGTACCTTCGATGGACCACCCTTGCATTACATGCAATGTTGTCACGAGACCCACTGGGGTTGCCCTAGAGATCCTCGGCATAAGGGCTACAGGCCTATATGCCTCGGGGGTTATGGGCACGTTATCCCGCTACTTAACAAGCCCTTTTAGCACAGTGGTTAGCGACTGTGCTTCTGACATAGTATCAGAGCCAGAGGTCTCATGTTCGAATCCGTGAAGTGCACTGCAGAAGTGCCGAGTCCTCCGCCTACCCCAGCGAGGGGGGGGTGTCAAGAGACCCGCTAGGGTCGCCCTAGAAGATCCTCGGAAGGGCTACAGGCCTCTATGCCTAGGGGGTTATGGGCGCGCAAGCCCTTTTAGCACAGTGGTTAGCGACTGTGCTTCTGACAAATGTTTCGGTAAAATCCAGCAGTAATTTTGTTACAAGTACTCCATGATTAGCCATAGCCGAATTGTCTGATTCATCCCTCCGTTGTGCTCCAAATTTTTATTATTTTTTTAAGTGCATACATTTTTTTGAAGGGCACCGTCATATAGCATGGTAGGCAGGACCTCATTAAAAAGCCTGTAATTATAAAAGCACATTGCAACACAGCAAAACAAATCACACTACAGCGATTGCACAAAAGAGGATAACACACGTGGTACACAGCATTGTGTGCCTAGAAAAAACTCAAGAATGCACTCAGTACAGTACATGCATGCACACACGCGAGAAAGCCCTATGCAGATGCGGCTAACTTTTCCGGCTTGGGCATGTGCCCAAAGTTGAAAGCAGCGTTGCTGAGCGTCCAGATTCGCATGTCAAAGAGCTTCTGCGGGGCAACGGACGGCTTGGATTCTCTCGAGGCATTCCCATCCTCACTAGAAGCTGCTTCAGTGGCGGTGTACGGGGTGGCATCGCCAGCACCGGTGCCAGCGCCAGCAGCGACGTAGAGAGGGAGCAGGTGCTCGATGGTGGGATGGGCTTTGGGCAGCAGGGGGTGGGATGCCAGAGCTGTACGTGGGAAGGCGAAGAACAGGGGAGAGGGAGGGGGGGGGAATGGGCGTGCTTGAGTGAGCTTGAACTGACGTACAGAGGGAGCAGGTGCTCGATGGTGGGATGGGCCTTGGGCAAGAGAGGGTGGGAAGACAGAGCCGCAAATGGGGAGGGTGGGAGAAAACAGCGGAGAGGGAGGGGGGAAATGGGTGTGCTTGAGTGAGCTTGAACTGACGTCGAGAGGGAGGATATGCTCAATGGTGGGGTGGGCCTTGGGCAAGAGAGGGAGGCGGGATAAGAAAGAAAAGGGAAGATGCACCTAGGAGGCATGGCCAGAATGTCAGAATGTCCTCATCTGACATGGCCTGGGCAATTGCCGTGTCCAGCAGGAGAAGGAGCAAGCAAAATAGGGATAGAATATCTAGAGAGAATATGAGACGAAGTGATGAGGGGAAGGAGGGAGGGAAGAGTGCGTTATGTTCTTTATAATTCTCAAAGTATACGCACCCAGCAGGCGGCTCAGCATGTCCTCGTCTGACTTGGCCTTGGCGATTGCCTCGTCCAGCAGCGAATCAAAGGGCGCCACGTAGGACGCCACCTGGCAGTGCAGCAGAAAACAGAAGCACAGAAGGAAGGAAGCGCCATTGATTCAAGAGAGCAATGGGATGCTGGAAGCATCAATTTTGGGGTGGAGGGAAGGACAGAAGCTCAGAAGCAATGAGGAATGCTTTTGAGGCGACTCAAAAGAAAGTAGTGAGGAGCTGAGACGAGTGAGTATGGCACGGAAGGGACAGGGCAACGCTCAGGTTACAAAATCAGTATGGAGGCGACTTTTGAGTCGACTCAAACGTCAGCTAAGAAGAGTGAGTACGGCATGATAGGGACAGAGCAACCCTCATGTTACAGCTTCAATATATCGATCCGTCCTGGAATGCGCCTTTTTAGAGCTCCAGTAGGGGCCAATGTCTCTTAAATACAGCACCGCCACTCGTCACTCGCGAGCACCAGCCCTCCCACCATCCTGCCTTTCCTCTTAAGCTCAAGCAAGCTACTGCGAGCACTGTCTTGAAAGGTATCACCCCTCACCTTCTTAGTCTCAAAGTATGGCCCGATGTCTCTTAATTTATTCACAGCGCCGCCACTCGCCACCACCAGCACGCCCTCCCTCCTGATCACACCATAGCTACCATCCACTGTCAACATGCACTTTTCACACACACCTTCTTAGTCCCGAAGTAAGGCCCGATGTCTCTTAAGTTATGCACTGCGCCGCCACTCGCCAGCACCAGCACCCCCTCCCTCCTGAGCGGCTTCAAAGCCCGGCCCAGCTCCACGTGGCGCTGCATACTTGTTATTGCGTTCCCCACTTGTCTGCTACTGCCGCCGTGCAGAGACATCTGGACCACTGGGATGCTGCCACGTGGCAGCATCCAGCGCAGCGGGACCCACGCGCCGTGGTCGAGCCCGTGGGAGGGGTCCAGCTCAGCTTTGATGTGATTGGCCGAGAGGAGCTGATGTCAGAAGGACGGGAATTGGGGAGGGATGGGGAAGAGCAGGGAAGGGAAATAAAGTTCAAGAAAGGATTATCTAGCCAGCAGAGTGATACTTTTTTGAGGCGCCTCAAATCTAGCCAGCAGAGTGATACTTTAATTAAAAAGCTATTAAAAGGCTTAGTTCATCAGCTCATGGGGATCCTATAAAGGGTAACTCGTAGCAAAAACTTTATTAGGCCTTGACCAGGTACTGTAACGAGTACAGCTCGCACGCTGATATAAAGTGCTAGGGTTTCTCACCTCCACCACACGTTGGGCTAGTTCAGGCGACCCCTTGACAGGATACTGTAGCGAGTACAGATCGCGGGGAAACCCGTAGAAGTCGTGAACAGTGCCGGGCTGGGCGGCACTGTTCACTCGGATGGCCGGCCCGTCCGCCTCCCAGTGCGCGCTTATAACGAGGATGGCCTTGAGTCCAGGGAAGTCAGCGACCTGTATGAGGAGGAAACGGCGGGAAAATTGAGTGCGACTTATAACGAGGATGCCTTTGAGCCCACGGAAGTCAGTTACCCGTAGGGGTGTAATGGACGACGGATAGCGGGTTGAACAGTACCGTGCAGCATGAAAAGTGGCAGTGCGTGCTTATAACGAGGATAACCTTGAGTGCAGGAACTCCAGAAGTTTTCCTCCACCCCGGCCATGGGAAAACCTCGGGACACGAAGACTGCATGTGGAATCGTTTTATCCTTCCCCCCCTCCTCTCCCCCTCCTCTCTCCCCCTCCTCTCCCCCTCCTCTCCCCCTCCTCTCCCCCTCCTCTCCCCCTCCTCTCCCCCTTGCTTGGGTTCCCAGAGGGGCTCACCTGTTTCCCCAGTCGCTGCCAGAAGGCGGACGTCTCGTCCTCCTCAATCGCCGCCATGGGCGACCCGTGCGACACGAATATAACGGGAAGCTCCTCCCGCTCGCTCCCCGCATTCCCCGCCGCCAAATCCGCTGCCATTTCCGCTGACGAGGAGCCGAAGGTTGCGCGCGTAGAGCCAATCGCTGGATGTCTGCCACGTGGCGTTGATGCAGAAAAGGCGCTCTCTCGGCCGTCGATCTGGCAGACGGGCTGCGAAGCACGAAGGGGTTCGCTCCTTGAGGCGGCGTGTGCCACACACGGGAACGCTGACGTGGCGAGAAGGCAGAGCTGCGCGGCGGTTAAGGAGAAAATCGGCGCGCTTCGGAGAGTGGTTCTCAAGCTGGGCTGTCGGAGCTGAGTCAGGGCGCGTTCAGTTGCGGTACGCGACGGCTGCCGCGGACGGAACGAGTTAAGGCGGAACGGCCGAATGGGAGTAAAGGCAAAAGAGATTGTCATTCTAGTGAGATTAGTAAGCGCTTCGAAGTTTGAGATATAGGGTTAATTCTAGTGCGGAGATAATGCGACGAGAGGAGAAAGAGGAGAAGCGTATTGTGGAGCCTACCTGACACGAGAGAGGGTTGTAAAGCGAATGTGCACCGCGGCTTTAAAAATGAGGCGTCGCGGCCTTGTGTAGTGTCTACCCTGTCTCCTGCTTCCCCTGAAGGGAAGGAGATATAGCCTCGGTATAAGGAATGTGCGTCTCGCTAAAGCTCGGTTGTCGGTGACAGATGAGCGAACAGGATTCAATGATTGGTGGCATTGCTGGCAGGAAACCTGTGATATGCAGCCGTGTCGTGCCTCGCTGCGCGTAAAAGCAGGACCGCTAGTTTGTGGCCTTTCAGCTGGGGTCTCTCAGGGAGGAGAAGAGAGTGGTAGAAGAGACTAGCAGGAGGTCTCTAGGAATCTCGCAACCACTTTCCAGGACCCTGCGAGCTCCAGCGCGTCAGCAATGACGTCAGGAAGGCGACATTTCGCCGAAACTCAAAGAATCTTCGAGAACGCAAGAATTAAAATATATTAAAATGATATTATATATTTCACACTTTCAACGTGTCAGGATGGCCGAGTTGGTCTAAGGCGCCAGTTTCAGGTACTGGTCCGAAAGGGCATGGGTTCGAATCCCATTCCTGACAACTTTTTGTCAGGAATGATTTCGAGAATGTTACGAGTCGCACGTGCGAGTCGCAACCTCCTCCTCATATCGTGGAAGATTTCTTATTTCTTGCTGATCTGGCCACGGTTCCGGGTGTGACATCCTGATTTGCGTAACGGCCGCTCTTATCCGTAGATGAAATTCGATCGAGCGGACGTGAAGCAACCTCCCAGACACTTTCTGACGCCTGGATGAGGTGGTTGGTCCACGTCCTTTCTGGATCATACCTGATCAAATCTCCCGCTTTTCCCACCAAAAAGCGATTGGTTTGAACCGTCGTTCATAGCCCTCAGCGCAGCATTTCCAGTTCCGCTCCGACCTTTCAGGACGAATTCGCACCGTCACGTTGTGCCATAGTTCGTGAAAAACCGGTTACCGCTCACTCAGCCAAATCAGCATTTTGAATGGACAACGGCCTCAACATCAGTCTTCGCCATCGTTCGCGGAATTCAGCAACGGTAACTCAACAACTCGCAATGTCGCGCAGAAACTATGGAATCTCCCCCATGAAATATGGAGTTGCCTCCATTCTCCATCCTCCCAACAGCACGTTATGAACCTAGACAGGCGCATCGGCTTTGGCCTGCAGGCGAAATAGTATCTGCTCTGCTACCGTAGGGACAAGCCTAGGTACTTCCGATCTCTCGGCAACCTCGAGCTCATCTGCGCATATCGGCTGCTAGCATCGACAACTTCTGCGCTGTTTAGCATTCTATGACCGCTCTCATCTCCTATCGTTAATATCACTACTTTTGTTAGCTCCAGTCGGAGAGTAAGCACCATGCAGACTCTTACAGTCGCCACCATCGGCGGTCTGCGATTGCCTGCGAAGCCTAACGCCAGCGCGACTCCGCCGCACGCGTTAGCTTCGTCGTTAACTCTCGTCCCCGTAACTCGGCGCCTGATCGCAGCTCCTCCGCGGGCCCCACGCCTCGGAGTTAAACTCGGCGGGCTTTCCGCATTCCAGCCTGGAGCGTCTCGGGCAGCTGTAGGACGAACGACGGACCAGAGAAATGCAGGCTCGAAGCGCAGCGGAGATGGCGCCGCAAGTCGCGGAGGGCGCGTCCATGATGTGATTATGGCGGATGTGAGCGAAGAGGCGAAGTCGCGGCTCCAGAATCTTTCGTCGTTTCCGGCAATTGCGGAGAAGCAGCAGGGACGGGACGCGGGCTCTTATCCTCGCCGCATCCGAGGAAAAAGGACGAAATCAGGTATGCTTGGAATTAGTAAGAAAATAGTCAAAGAAATTGTCATCCTACACGTTGTGTAAGAGCTACGGGATCTTTGTTACGAAGCAATTGTTGACATATGAAGTACAGTATAAAGTTGGACCAGTAAATTGTCAATTGCGGCATGTAATGCGGTTTCGCACGCGAAAGGCTAACGGATACCTGTATGGTGGATTTGTGCTGTTGCGATATGTATTCGCACACGAACCGTTCGCTAACCGTGGTGTAGACAAGGTGACTTTTGGGTCGACTCAAAAGTCAACTCGTGACGTCATGACGACGGAGAGTCAGCTGTACGATTCGTTTTGAGGCGCCTCGAAATTCTGATGGTGCGATGCGAACCGTTTGCAAACTGTGGTGTAGACATCATTACGATGGAGAGTCAGCAATACGATAAGGGTCATGTGTGTCGTCATTAGCCTTAGCTCAATTGGCTGCTGACACGCGAACCTGTGACTAAACACGACGACGGAGTTAGCGTAACGATTAGGGTCCTGCTCGTTGGAAAAGTGTCGACTGCCCTGACTCATTCGAGGGCTTTTTGAGGCGCCTCAAAAAAAGTGGCGACTGCCGTGACTCATTCGAGGGCTGGCAGTGTGTCGTATGCATCTGGACTGACAGGCGTCCACTGACAGGCGTCCACTGACAGGCGTCCACTGACAGGCGTCCACTGACAGGCGTCCACTGACAGGTGTCCACTGACAGGCGTCCACTGACAGGCGTCCACTGACAGGCGTCCTGAACCCCATGCGACACTGCGTCGTCGTCATCTGCACCTCACCATGGACCCGCTCCGCCTTCTTATTCCCTCTTCCCAAACCTTGATTTTGCCGGGTGTTTTTGAGAATTCTCAAAACGTCTTCCTTCCCCCCTCCCACCCTCCCACCTCTCCTCCCCCCAACTCATGTTACCCTGCCTTTGATTTTCCCCCTAACCCTCGATGTCCCTACACTTCAGCCGAAATGGCGCAGGTTGAGGGCGACTGGCCACTCTCGTGGTGCCACGTGGCAGACGGAGTGCTGATTGGCTCTCCCCTGGCGAGCGCTGACGATGCCAAGGCTGTGCTTGAGGCTGCTGACGTCACTGCTGTCGTGTCCCTGGTGGTACGTGAACCTTTTAAGAGGTGGAGCTTTAAAGGTGGCAGCAAGGCTCTCTTGTCGTGTACGCGTACCCTTCAAACGGTGGCAGCAATGCTCTTTAGGAGTTGCTGTGCCGATAGCATCAGCCAAGGCTCTCCCTTCTCACTCATTTCCCTCGCCTTTCCTCCCTCATCCCCCTCACGATAACAGACGGAGCAGCAGGAGAGGGAGCTAGGCTCTGTAGGGTTTCAGTGTGGGTAGCACCAGTGGCGGCTCTCCCTTCTCACTCACTGCCCTCGCCTTTCCTCCCTCATCCCCCTCACGATAACAGACGGAGCAGCAGGAGAGGGAGCTAGGCGTTGACTGGGCAGCCGTGTCAGCAGCAGTGACAGATGCGGGAGGGGTGGCGGTGCGAGTGGCATCGGTGGAGGCGTTTGGGGAGAAAGCTGCTGCTGCTGCTGCTGCTGCTGGTGCCAAGAGTGGGGAGAAGGGAGCTGCTGCTGACTCCCAGGTGCGTGTGTGGGTGCACAGATATGTGAGGTACGGCCTATCTAGCAACAGAGACAGAGGCTGGAGGGAGGGGTGGCGGTGCGGGTGGCATTTGCGTACGCGTTGGGGGAGAAGTATCTCTGGCAGCATCGGGCCATCGGGTGCTCCTTGTGAGTCGACTCAAAAGACAGAGACAGAGGCGGGAGGGAGGGGTGGCAGTGCGGGTGCCATTTGCGTAGGCGCCGGGGGAGAAGCATCGCTGGCAGCATCGGGCCACTGGGCGCTCCTTCCTTTCCCTTGCTGCTTCCCCTTTCATTCCTTGCCCCTCCTTTCTTCCCCTCCATCCTTTATTTTGCAGGGTGTTTTTGAGAATTCTCAAAAACACCCTGCAAAATCACTGGGCGCTCCTTCCATTCCCTTGCTGCTTCCCCTTTCACTCCTTGCCCCTCCTTTCTTCCCCTCCATCATCCTCCTCCTTCTTCTTCTCACCCTTCCCTCTACCAGGTCCTTTCCTGCTGGAGTGTAAACGCGTGGTGCCATCGCTGGCTGGCAGCATCGGGCCATCAGGCCATCGGGTGCTGGTGGTCAGCTGCCCCTTCCTCAGGTTTCACTTTCCCGCCCTCCTCTCCTCCCCCATCCCTCACTTACACCTTACTACCACCACCAGGTGCCTGTCCTGCTCGAGTCTATTCGCGTGGTGGCGTCCCTAGCAGCATCGGGGCATCGGGTGCTGGTGGTCAGCTGCCAGCCCAACGCTGCAAGCGCGCTGGCCGCTATTGGGTGAGTGCTTCACACAGTGTGTGTGTCAGTCAACGCCAGTCAACGCCAGTCAAGAGCATCCACGCAGCATTGGGCCATCGGGTGCTGGTGGTCAGCTGTCAGCCCAGCGGTGCAAGCGCGCTGGCCGCTATAGGGTGAGTGCGTCACACAGTGTGTGTGTCAGTCAACGCCAGTCAACGCCAGTCGAGCAATCGCGCAGCATCGGGGCGTCAGCATCGGGTGCTGGTGGTCAGCTGCCAGCCTGGCAACGCTGGTTTTGATGTTAGCACTGACGGATCTAGGGTGGCTGGGTAGTGGTTAACGTGATGTCAAAGAAGTCAGCGCGAGCCACTCCCTCCCCCCTCCTCACCCCCTCTCCAGCTACCTGTCTCTGGTTTAAGGTGAGTCACCGGAGGCAGCAGCAGCAGCGCTGGGGCGCGTCTGCCCGTCTGCCCGCCGCTCTGGAGGCACTCGAGCACACTCAGACGCACCTGGCGGCGGGCAACAGCCAGAGACGCATTCTCCCACTCCCCCAACCCCCTCTTGCCCCCAACTTCCCTCCTGCAGGTACCTTTCCCTGGTTAAAGGCGAGTCACCGGAGGCAGCAGCAGCAGCGCTGAGGCGCGTCTGCCCGTCTGCCCGCCCGGCTCTGGAGGCACTCGAGCAGACTCAGACGCACCTGGCGGCGGGCAACAGCCAGAGGCTCACGAAGCTGGCGGCAGCGGAGCTGCAGCAGCGGATTGCCAAGGGCGTCAGGGGAAGCTCTGCTGGCGACTGGAAGGTGGGTGGCTTGGGGTGTGGGGTGTGGGGTGGGGGGTAAGGGGTGTGTGTGGGTGTGGGGGAGAGGGGAAGAAGGCTCAGATGCACCTGGCGGCAGGCAACAGCCAGAGGCTCACGAAGCTGGCAGCAGCTGAGCTGCAGCAGCGGATTGCCAAGGGCGCCAGGGGAAGCTCGGCCGGCGACTGGAAGGTGGGTTGCGTGATGGGGTGAGAGAGGGAGGTCGCCGCCATGGAGGGAAACCAACCAGCAGTGGATGGTTGCTCTGGTTACCATTGCCCCTACCTCCTCCTGTTATCGTCACTCATGGTCTTGGGAAGAGCAGCAGTGCAAAGTCAGTCGCTTGAGCAAAAAAGGGTAATTTTGAGTGAAGAGTTTTTACGAAGCAAATCTCTTGCCTAAGATTTTTTACTCTCGTTCTTGTTGCTCAAGCGACTGACTTTGCACTGCTGCTCTTCCCAAGACCATGAGTGACGACGACCCGTGGTTGCTCTGGTTACCATTGCCCTACCTCCTCCTGTTATCAACCCCCACCCTTCCTCCACCCCCTCCCTCCCCTCTCTCCCTCCCCCCTCTCCCTCCCCTCTCTCTCTCTCTCCCTATCTCCTGCTGCAGGCGGCAGAGAGGAAGCTCGCCATAGAGGGATTTCAGCGTATGGTGGCTGCCGACGTGGCTCTCTCTGAGGCGCTCTCCAAGGTACTGACAGCTCGGCTGCTCTTACTACTGACGTGGTACTGACAGCTCTTGGCTTTCCGCCTTCCCTCCATCCGCTTTCCCTCCTTCCCATCTCCCGTCCTTCCTTGTTTCTAGGCAGGCTGCCTCTCAGAGGGTTTTAGTAGACTCTGTATAAGCATCCCCTTAATGGTTGACTTCAGGCTCTGGCTGCTGGCTGATCATTCACAAACCATGCATATCTGCTTTCCGTTATGTTCCCCCCCTTTTGTGCATCCATCTTGGCTATGTTTCCATCTTGGCGGGCTGCATTCATCTTGCTATGTTTCCATCTTGGCGGGCTGCATTCATCTTGGCTATGTTTCCACCTTGGCTATGTTTCCATCTTGGTTTTTTTTAGGCGCCTCAAAAATCGTTATGTTCCCCCCCTTTTTGTGCATCCATCTTGGCAGGCTGCTATTAGGAGGGCGACGAGGGAGGCTGAGAAGCAGATTGAGGGAGGAGCGGTGAGTTGGGAGAAGGGAGGGTAGAGGAGAGAAGGAAGGGAGGAGGGTAGGGGACTTTTGAGTCGACTCAGAAGTAGGGAGGGTAGGGGAGAGAAGGAAGGAAGGGAGGAGGGTAATGAGCGAGGTAGAGTGCGGAGGGTAAGCTGGGTGACTCTTGAGTCGACTCAAGAGTCTCCACGAAACCGCAGCCACATTCCGATATTTTCACCCTCCCCTCCCAACCCACCTCTGCCTCCCCCCCACTTCCCTCCCCAAATGCTGCTGTACGTTTCAGGCGTCCCTCCAGGAGAAGGCGGACCTCCTGATGGCTCAGATCCAGCAGCTGGAGTGGTTGTCCATCCCACCTTCCTCCCCGCTTCTCCATCCCCCCCCTTCCCCTCCCCTTCACCCTCTTTTCGTTTCAGGCGTCCCCCCAGGAGAAGGTAAACCTCCTGATGGCTCAGATCCAGCAGCTGGAGTCCCGGCAGAAGGCAGCAGCGGAGGCCGAAACCGCTGCCACAGACCGAATCTCCTTCTTCCTCAACCAACTCTCTACCCTCCGAACCAAGCACGCCGAGGCTGAGAAGACAGCCAAGGCAGCCTCGGCCCGAGCCTCCCGGCTCGCCACGCAGCTGTCCGCCGCGGCTAACCGCGAGGCCTGGTCCCAAGCCTCCGCCGAAGCTGCCCAGGGGAGGATCGGGGAGCTCGAAGCTGAGGTGGCGGGGCTGAGGGAACGAGAAGAGGGACTGATTGAGGCTCGGAAGAAAGCCGAGGCTGAGGCGGAGGAGGCTCGGAAACAAGCAGAGGTGCTGAAAGCGGAAGTGGTGACTGTGGGAGAGAAGCAGGAGGAGGCTGTGGCTGCTATGGCTGAGGCTAAGGAGAGGATCGGATTCTTATCTGGAGTTGTTAAGGAGCTGGAGCAGAGGGAGAAGGCTGCGCGGAGTGAGGTGGCGTCTGCTGTTGAGATGACTCAAGTGGTTGAGAGGAGGGTGAGTGCTTCTACATGGATGGACTGTTAGCTGGCAAATAATGGGTGGGGCGGGGGAGGGAGGCACCAGAGAAGGAAGTAGCAGCAGCACACGGACCAGCAACTAATTGCCCATGCGCCCACCCGCCTCCCTTCCCCCTCTCTTTGCGCCCCTGCATCGTTCACATCGGCTCTTCGTCCGTTCCAGGAGCAAGCAGGTGGTGAGGTCCCGGACCTTCACCAGTGCTGCTTGCGCCCCTGCCTTGTTCACATGGGCTCTTCGCCCCTGCCAGAAGCAAGGTGGCATTTGAGTCGACTCAAAAGCCACGCACCCGCCTCCCTTCCCCCTCTCTTTGTGCCCCTGCCTTGTTCACATGGGCTCTTCGTCCCTGCCAGGAGCAAGCAGCACTGGTGAAGGTCCGTGATTTAACCACCCGCGTGGCGGCTCTAGAGACGGAGGTGGCAGCAGCAGCGCACGAGGCAGCACGCATTGCCAACGGCTCCCTTCCCCCCCTGCACCCCACCCCCCGTACCCTGTTGTCTTTCCTCTCTTTGCTTGCCCGTGTCCCTTTCCAGGAACAAGCAGCACTGGTGAAGGTCCGGGATCTGACCACCCGCTTGGCCGCACTAGAGACGGAGGTGGCAGCAGGCACATAGCCCATCTCTCCCCCCCCCCCCCCTTTTTGCTGTCCCCGGCCCTCCCAGGAGCAAGCAGCACTGTTGGTGGTGCGGGACCTGACCACCCGCGTGGCCGCTCTAGAGTCGGAGGTGGCAGCAGCGCACGAGGCAGCACGCGGCTCCTTACCCTCTTCCCCCATTTTTACCCCCCCCCCCCCCCTTTTTTTCTTCCCCCAAACCTTTGCATCCATCAATCCTCCCAGGAGCAAGCAGCACTGGTGAAGGCGCGGGACCTGACCACCCGCGTGGCCACACTAGAGACGGAGGTGGCAGCGGCGCACGAGGCAGCACGTGGCTCCTTACCCCCCTTCCCCCATTTTTACCCCCCCCCCCCCCTTTTTTCTTCCCCCAAACCTTTGCATCCATCAATCCTCCCAGGAGCAAGCAGCACTGGTGAAGGCGCGGGACCTGACCACCCGCGTGGCCACACTAGAGACGGAGGTGGCAGCGGCGCACGAGGCAGCACGTGGCTCCTTACCCCCCTTCCCCCATTTTTACCCCCCCCCCCCCCTTTTTTCTTCCCCCAAACCTTTGCATCCATCAATCCTCCCAGGAGCAAGCAGCACTGGTGAAGGTCGGGGACCTGACCACCCGCGTGGCCGCTCTAGAGACAGAGGTGGCAGCGGCGCACGAGGCGGCACGCATTGCCAACGGGAAGTGCGAGTTCTTTGCACGGGTGATGGAGACGCTGCGGGAGAGGGAGCAGGCTGCGCTGGCGCAGGCTCGAAAGGCGAACATGCTGCTGGCAGGTACTGTGGTGGTGGCATTGTACCATGTGAGTCATATAGCAGCTGTTTCTATGTAGGATGAGAGAGAGGCAGTCAAAGTGGAGCTGTGAGCAGCAAGGGAGCGACAAGCTTGCCTCGGAGCCTCATGGAAGAAGGCAGTGGCTCGCGCCTCAGAGCCTCATAGAAGAGTGTTTTTGAGAATTCTCCAAAACAGCTTGCATCAGAGCCGCATAGAAGAAGGCAGTGGCATTTTGAGTCGACTCAAAATACAGCTGTGAGCAGCAAGGGAGCGACAAGCTTGCCTCAGAGCGACAAGGGAGCGACAAGCTTGCCTCAGAGCCTCATAGAAGAAGGCAGTTGCTCGCCCAGAGATGGTGGTGGCTGAGCTGGGCGCGGCTAAAACCAGCTCACACAATCTCAATGTTCAAGCTCCCCTCTTCCTGCTCCCGTCCCGCGTGTCGTGTACCACAGGGGTTAAGGCAGAGCTCTCGGCTGCCAAGGAGAGGGAGGCGAGCCTCAGGGCGTCGTGGAAGGAGGCAGTGGCGCGCGCAGAGATGGTGGTGGCTGAGCTGGGCGCAGCCAAGAGGATGCAGGGCGAGGCGGTGCGGGAGAGGGAGGCGGCGGAAGTGGCGCTCGCTGCTGCTGATAGCCCACTGGTGAGGGAAATAGGGGGGGGGGAGTAGGGGACATTAGGAGTGAATAATAGGGGATTAAAGGGGAGGTAGCCCCCCCTAAGGGGATGCAGGGCGAGGCAGTGCGGGAGAGAGAGGCGGAAGTGGCGCTCGCTGCTGCTGATAGCCCGCTGGTGAGAGGAAGAGGGGGGGGGAAAGTAGGGGATATTGGGAGAGGATAAAAGGGGGAGGCAGCCTCCCCCTTGGGAGGATGCAGAGCGAGGCGGTGCCGGAGAGAGAGGCGACTGAAGTGGCTCTTGCTGCTGCAGACAGCCCGCTGGTGAGGGACAATGGGGAGGGAAATAGGGGATATAGGGAAGGATTGGGGGGAAGGGGAGACGGGCTGGGGGGAAGGGGAGACGGGTTGGGGGGAGGGGAGACGGGTTGGGGGGGAGAGGAGACGGGCTGGGGGGAAGGGGAGACGGGTTGGGGGGAAGGGGAGACGGGCTGGGGAGAAGGGGAGACGGGCTGGGGGAAGGGGAGACGGGCTGGGAGGAAGGGGAGACGGGCTGGGGGAAAGGGGAGACGGGCTGGGGGGAAGGGGAGACGGGTTGGGGGGGAGAGGAGACGGGCTGGGGGGAAGGGGAGACGGGTTGGGGGGAAGGGGAGACGGGCTGGGGGGAAGGGGAGACGGGTTGGGGGGAAGGGTAGACGGGTTGGGGGGAAGGGGAGACGGGCTGGGGGGAAGGGGAGCCGGTTTGGGGGGAAGGGGAGGCGGGTTGGGGGGAAGGGGAGACGGGCTGGGGGGAAGGGGAGCCGGTTTGGGGGGAAGGGGAGGCGGGTTGGAGGGAAGGCAGCCTCCCCATTAGGAGGATGCAGAGCGAAGCATTGAGGGAGAGAGAGGCGACTGAGTGGCTCTTGCTGCTGCTGTCAGTCCGCTGGTGAGAGGCAATGAGGGGGCAAGGGACAAGAAATAGGTGGGAAGGGAAGGGAATAGGTGCAGCCAGGGAGATACGGGCTTAGGGTGTGTTCCTTCCCCTCACTGGCTTGCTCCCACCACAACCACCAACTGATGGTCAAGACAGCGCTGCAAGCAGCGATTAACAATGAGAAATACCTGACTGCTCTTTGCAGCGGCACCCTCAATGTTTGTCTCTACTCCCCCCTCTTTTGCCCTACCTTCCCCTCTCCCACGTCAGATGGCTCAGGCAGTGCTGCAAGCGGCGATCAACAGCGAGGCACAGCACCCTCACTAAGGCTGTACCTCCTCGTTCTCCCGTTGAGTGCGCTCTTCTGCCCCCCTCGTTTGCCCCTATCCATCCCTCCAAATTCCAACCCGTACTCAGATGGCCAAGGCGGCGCTGCAAGCAGCGATCAACAACGAGGCCTACCTGACCGCCCTAGTCAGCACCCTCACCGCCCGCCTGTCCGACGCTACAGCCGAGCGCGCTACAGCCGGGGAGCGGATGCGATTCCTGGAGCGACAGCTGGCAGAGGGGAAGGAGAGGGAGCAGGAGGCGCGGGAGCGAGTGAGGGTGGCGGAGAGGGAGAAGGAGGGGCTGGTGGTGCAGGTGGAGAGAGTGAGAAAGAGTGAGGAGGAGGCGCGGAGGGAGGTGGGAGTGCTCATGCAGAAGCTGGATAGCGTTGCGGCGCAGGTGAGAGTTCAAGCGCGTCTGTGCACACGTTTAGTACACACAGGTGGAGAGAGTGAGAAAGAGTGAGGAGGAGGCGAGGAGGGAGGTGGGAGTGCTGATGCAGAAGCTGGATAGTGTGGCTGCTCAGGTGAGTGTGAGGGGTTCCAGGTGTCTCTTCAGGTGAGTTGGAGTGTCAGGCGTTTCTTCAGGTAGGCTCTCTTTCTCACTCCGTCCCCTTGCTTCTCTCCACCCCCTCGCAGTCCAAGGCAGCAGAGCAAGTCGAAGGAGCCATTCTGATCATGCGGGCACAAGTCGACGTGCTCCAGGCGGAGCTGGCAGCGGCGAAGCAGACAGCTGAGGCAGCCAGCGAGCGCTCCTCCTTCCTGCTGCGCCAGATGGACCTGATCAAATCCCGCCAGCAGCAGAAGCTAGACGCTGCTGTCGCACAGGCGGTCTCAGCCGAGCAGAAAAAGGCTGGGGTTGCCGCCTCCGCTGCTGCTGCTACTGCCGCCGCTGCGGCTGCTCCGGCTGCTTCTAACGCCGAAGCTATTATGGAAGCAGCGGTCGAGAAGCTGCAGAAGCAGCTGGCGGAGGCTCGGGCCGAAGCAGAGGCAGCTGTGGCAAACGTTTCAAACCTGGAGGCGAGGGTCGGGCAGCTGCAGACGAAGGAGAAGGAGGCGAAGGTGCTGCTCGGCCGGGCAGATGAAAAGATCTCGGACCTGTTTGTACAGCTGTCGGCTGCCCGAGAAAAGGAGAAGGTGGAGGCTAAGGCTCTGATGAAGGCTCGGGTGGAGCTTGGGGAACTTTCTGGGAAGGTTACGAGGCTGGAGGTTGAGTTGAAAGAGAAGGAGGCGGCAGTGGGAGGTGTGGGGAGCGGTGTTGGTGCTGCTGCGACCAAAATGGTGGTTGACCTGTCTAAGGGGGCTAAGGAGCTGCACACCAGGTGAGAGAGGGGTGAAGGGGTAGGGGTGTTGATGGTATTGAGAGGTGTGGGGAGTGGTGTGGTCGCTGCTGCCACAAAGATGGTGGTTGATCTGTCTAAGGGGGCTAAGGTGCTCCGTAGAAGGTGAGAGACGGGTGAAGGGTGGGGCTATTGATTATATCGAGGAGGTGTGGGGAGTGATGTTGGTGCTGCTGCCACTAACTAATACGGTGGTTGATCTGTCTAGGGGCGCCAAGGAGCTGCATACTAGGCGAGAGAGAGGTGAAGGGGTGAATATATGGACCACGTGGGGTGAAGGGGTAGGGTAATTGATGATATTGGGAGGTGTGCGGAATGGTGCTGGTGCTGCTGCCACTAGAGTGGTGGTTGACCTGTCTAGGGGGCTAGGGAGCTGCACACAAGGTGAGAGAGCGAGGCTTCAGTGCCCCTCAATTGCCCCTGGAGCGAGGCTTCAGTGCCCTTCAATTGCCCCTGGAGCGAGGCTTCAGTGCCCCTCAATTGCCCCTGGAGCCTCACACATGAGGCCCCAGTTAATTGTCCCTTCGCGATCAAGCTCCCTGCATGAGTGTTGTCTAGCCCCTGTGAGAGATGTTTTAGAATTCTCAAAAGTCTCTCACATGGACTTAATTGTCCCTTCGCGATCAAGCTCCCTGCATGAGTGCTGTCTAGCCCCTCAGCTAGCCTTTCAGGGGCGTCTGTTTTTGAGTCGCCTCAAAAATAAACTCCCCTGGAGCCTCACGCTGAGGCTTCATGACCAAGTTGCCTGCATGAGTGTTGTCTAGCCCCCCAGCTATTTTTGAGGCGCCTCAAAAATAGAAGCCTCACTCTGAGGCTTCATGATCAAGTTGCCTGCACGAGTGTTGTCTAGCCCCCCAGCTCGCCCTTCAGGGGCTAGCTTGTCCTTCGGCCGACTACCCAGTCTAGTGCCTGCTCATCCTCGGCTTATTTCTTAGAAAGAAAAAAATATAAGTAAGAACTCAACTTTAGCCAGCCTGGCGCGGATGTATCCTCCGCTCGTCTTCCTTTGAGTCGACTCAAAAGCAGAGCAGTCTTCCATCCCGTCCCCCTTCTCTCCCTCCTCCCCTCTCATCTCCCTTTTCTCCCTCCTCCCCTCTCATCTCCCTTTTCTCCCTCTTCCCCTCTCATCTCCCTTTTCTCCCTCCTCCCCTCTCATCCCCCTTCTCTCCCTCCTCTCCTCTCGTCCCCCTTCTCTCCCTCCTCCCCTCTCATCTCCCTCCCCCAGCAGGCTCCAGGCTACCAGGTCGCCCGCCTGGGACAGGGGCTGTGCGCAGTCAACTGACTAAGGCGTGCTTACCCTCTTGGCTTCTTTTCCGTCTTCCATTCCTCTCTCTCCCTCCCCCAGCAGGCTCCAGGATCAGGTCGCTCGCCTGGGACAGGGGCTGACAGCCAAGCCTGCTGCACCAGCTGCCCTTGATAAGGTAAGCGCTGGCTTGCTCGTTTTAGAGGCGGTGCAGTGCATAACCTAGTCAACAGGGAGGGAAAGACTGCAGCAACAGCCAATCTGCAGGTGTTTTTTTAGTCGACTCGAAACTCACCAGCTGCTATTGAGAAGGTAAGGTAAGCGTTGGCTTGCTTGTTGGAAGTGCAGGTGCTTCAGGGCGTCGCTTATGGACAGGAAGGAAAAGGTGTTTCTGAGAGCTCTCAGAAACTCCTTGCTTGTTGGCAAGGAGATGATTCAGCGCATCAGCTATTAACAGATTTTTGAGGCGCCTCAAAAATCAAGGAGATGATTCAGCGCATCGGCTATTTTTGAGTCGACTCAAAGGCAGCGCATCAGCTATTTTTTAGTGGACTCAAAAGCAGCGCATCAGCTATTAACAGGAAGCGAAATGTCTGCGGCAGTGCTTCTTGGAAAAGGCGATTTTGAGAATTCACAGCAAGCAGCAGCCAACCTGCAGGAGGCGGTGGCAGCACTCAACGTGATTTTTGAGTCGACTCAAAAATCGCCCCCGTGCTGCTGCACTCAGCACTCAACGCCCCTGCACTGCTGCACTCAGCACTCAACGCCCCTGCGCTGCTGCTGCTGCTGCTACACCCCTGCTGCTGCTGCTGCTACACCCCTGCTGCCCACCTGCTGCTACTACACCTCAGCTGCTACACACCTGCTGCTGTGCATGCCCTCAACACCCCTCCTCTTCCCCGCCCTCGCTCTCCCTTTCCTTCCCCTCTTCCTTCCAAAAAAAAAGAAGAGGAAGTGGCTATTGCAGCAGCAGCCAGCCTCGGGCAAGTTGTGAGGGCACTCAACACCCCTGCTGCTGCTGCTGCTGCTGCTGCTGCTGCTGCTGCTGCTGCTACCTCCTCGGCTCTTCTCTTCCCTGCCCCCTCTCTCCCTCCTCCCTCCCTCAAAACAGGAGGAGCAGATCATTGCTGCAGCAGTTAATCTGCGGGAAGCAGTGGAAGCAGTCAACGCCCCTGCTGCTGCTGCTGCTGCTGCTGATGATATGTGATTTTCCCACAATTGTGGTTTTTCTTTTCACCCAGGAGGAGTAGATCATTGCTGCAGCAGCCAATCTGCGGGAAGCAGTGGAAATGGAACACCTCAATCAGCAGAGTACTGCTAAACAGCTGAGTACTCAACACCTCTGCTGGTGCTGCTAATGCCACCAACATTTCCCCTCCCTTCCCTTCCCTTCTGTTCCCTTCCCTTCCCTTTCCCTTCTCCCCACTCCCCTTGCCAATCCCAGGAGGAGGAGGAGATCATTGCAGCAGCAGCCAACCTGCGGGAAGCAGTGGAAGCTCTCAACACCCCTGCTGGTACCACCACACCCAACGGAAGTGCCACCGATTCCTCCTCCTCCTCCTCTCTCCGTTCCTTCGACGATGCAGTAGTATTTGACTCCAACGCTCCTGAAGCGGTGCCGGTGCCTGCTAAGTACCGGAATGGGAATTGATAGATGATGTGGCCACTCGCGCATCTTCTCCCTCCTGCCAAGCACCTGCCAAGCACCTGCCAAGCACCTGCCAAGCACCTGCCAAGCACCTGCCAAGCACCTGCCAAGTACTACCCAATCACCTAAGGACCTGTAGCTGCTTTTGAATCAGCTCAACAGCGGTGCCTGCCAAGCACCACATTGCCAATTGACCCATCTCGTTTTACCATCTCACACCACCTCCCATCCCATCCAATTCCACCGCCTCCCATCCCATACCACCGCCTCCCATCCCACACCACCACCTCCCATCCCATCCAATTCCACCGCCTCCCATCCTATGCCACAGCCTCCCATCCCATCCCACACCATCTCCTCCCATCCCATCCCATCCCACCGACTCCCTTTCTCACCATCTCCTTGAAACCTCCCTCGCACTCACTCTGTGTTGCTCCATACTGCGTGTGTATTGAAGCTGTATGGGCTGGGCTGGGCCCCTGGGGCCATTGTAAAGCACCTTCAATGAGGCGGCTTTTGAGTCGACTCACAATTACACTGCGTGTGTAGTGAAGCAGTGTGGGCAGAGCACCAAGGGACATATTAAGGCACCTTAAATGAGATGGGAGCCTTGTGTGGACACCATGCTCACACATGCGGTGTATACTAGTCTAAATGCGGGATGTTGATACTCATCTGCAACTTTTGCCACTGTTGCAGCTTCTGCTGTAACCTTCTCGGAATGCTTGATTCTGGTCTTGCCCACACTGGCAGTTTGGGGACGTGGGTGGGGTTGTTGGTCAGGCTTGAGAGCCTACCATTCTAGATTTGAGGCACCTGAAAACTAGACTCCCGTTCAAAGGGTGGTTAGGGTTAGTTGTGAGCTCCGTGGTTTTGTTGTGTTCCAGAGCAGCAGTGACCAGAATTTCCTGCAGCAGCACCAACTTATTATTTACTGGTAGTCAGAAATACAATATTATACACTTAGCTAGCATACATCATGATGCAACTATTGAAGCAACACAAACCAGAATGTATGTCTTAGACAAATCTTAAATCTTATCCTTCAACCAGTTCCGCCCCCTACACACTCATTCATTACAACATTCTCCAAATCCTTCAACCTCTCTACAAGCACATCCGCTTCAGGTCTCTTGCTCCGCATATCATTCAAGCAGTGCCTTGCCAAAACCGCCAACCCTACCGCCGACTTTCTCCCAAACCTGCCTTCCAACCTCGGATCTATGAACTCGTCTATTCTCGGCTCACGTTTGTCGAAGTAGGGTCGGATTTGGTAGACTAGGAAAGTGGACGAATCGGGCTCAACTGGAGGGCGGCCTGTTAGGAGCTCAAGCAAGATGACTCCTAGAGAGTACATGTCACTGCTGGGGGCCAAGTGACCTGAGGGTGGGGAAGAGGGTGGGACCGTGGGGGAGAGAAGAGTTGAGAGACAGATGCAAAGGAACCAACTTCAATCCAAGGGTGGCGTGTTAGCAGCTCGAGAAAGATGCGGAGGAATCGATTTCAACCGGAAAGCGGCTTGTTAGGAGCTCTAAAAAGATGACTCCTAGAGAGTAGACGTCACTGCTGGGGGTCAAGTGACCTGAGGGTGGGGAAGAGGGTGGGACCGTGGGGGAGAGACGAGTTGAGAGACAGAAGTTGAGAGACAGGTGGGGAAGAGGGTGGGGAAGAGTGTGGGGAAGAGGGTGGGGAAGAGGGTGGGACCGTGGGGGAGAGACGAGTTGAGAGAGTTTGGAGGAATCGACTTCAACCGAAGGGCGGCCTGTTAGGAGCTCGAGAAAGATGACTCCTGGAGAGTAGATGTCGCTGCTGGGGGCCAAGTGACCTGAGGGAGGGGAAGCGGGTGAAGTGAGTGGCGGGGAGAAGAGTTGAGAGACGTGTGGATCAACCACTTTCGACTGAAGGGCGGCCGGTTAGCAGCTCAAGAAATATCAATGTCTTTGCCCGAAGGGCGGCCGGTTAGCAGCTGAAGGGCGGCCGGTTAGCAGCTCAATACACCTACCAGCATCCATGCACCTACCAGCATCCATGCACCTACCAGCATCCGTGCACCTACCAGCATCCATGCACCTACCAGCATCCATGCACCTACCAGCATCCGTGCACCTACCAGCATCCGTGCACCTACCAGCATCCATGCACCTACCAGCATCCGTGCACCTACCAGCATCCATGCACCTACCAGCATCCGTGCACCTACCAGCATCCGTGCACCTACCAGCATCCGTGCACCTACCAGCACCCATGCACCTACCAGCATCCGTGCACCTACCAGCATCCGTGCACCCACCAGCATCCATGCACCCACCAGTGTCCATGTATTCGGGGTCTAGATAACCCAATGTCCCCTTTATTTGCGTTGATACGTGCGTATTCCCCTCCTCTGGCCCCGCCCTTGCCATTCCAAAGTCAGTCAGCCTGGCACACATGTGCTGAGGGAGGGGAGGAGGGTGTGAGGGTGTGAGGGTGTGAGGGAGGGAGGGAGGGAGGGAGGGAGGGAGGGAGGGAGGGACATGGGAGAATGTGGAATGAGGTCAGCCTGGCACGCATGTGCTGAGGGGAGGAGGGTGTGAGGGTGTGAGGGTGTGAGGGTGTGAGGGAGAGAAGGCGAGAGGGAGGAGAGAGGGAGAGAGGGACGGCAGGAGTTTGATGCGGGCCGTTCCAAAGTCAGTCAGCCTGGAGTGCATGCGCTGTGACTTTTGAGTCGACTCAAAAGTCACCTGGAGTGCATGCGCTGTGACTTTTGAGTCGACTCAAAAGTCACCTGGAGTGCATGCGCTGTGACTTTTGAGTCGACTCAAAAGTCACCTGTGACTTTTGAGTCGACTCAAAAGTCGCCTGGAGTGCATGCGCTGTGACTTTTGAGTCGACTCAAAAGTCACCTGGAGTGCATGCGCTGTGACTTTTGAGTCGACTCAAAAGTCACCTGGAGTGCATGCGCTGTGACTTTTGAGTCGACTCAAAAGTCACCTGGAGTGCATGCGCTGTGACTTTTGAGTCGACTCAAAAGTCACCTGGAGTGCATGCGCTGTGACTTTTGAGTCGACTCAAAAGTCACCTGGAGTGCATGCGCTGTGACTTTTGAGTCGACTCAAAAGTCACCTGGAGTGCATGCGCTGTGACTTTTGAGTCGACTCAAAAGTCACCTGGAGTGCATGCGCTGTGACTTTTGAGTCGACTCAAAAGTCACCTGGAGTGCATGCGCTGTGACTTTTGAGTCGACTCAAAAGTCACCTGGAGTGCATGCGCTGTGACTTTTGAGTCGACTCAAAAGTCACCTGGAGTGCATGCGCTGTGACTTTTGAGTCGACTCAAAAGTCACCTGGAGTGCATGCGCTGTGACTTTTGAGTCGACTCAAAAGTCACCTGGAGTGCATGCGCTGTGACTTTTGAGTCGACTCAAAAGTCACCTGGAGTGCATGCGCTGTGACTTTTGAGTCGACTCAAAAGTCACCTGGAGTGCATGCGCTGTGACTTTTGAGTCGACTCAAAAGTCACCTGGAGTGCATGCGCTGTGACTTTTGAGTCGACTCAAAAGTCACCTGGAGTGCATGCGCTGTGACTTTTGAGTCGACTCAAAAGTCACCTGGAGTGCATGCGCTGTGACTTTTGAGTCGACTCAAAAGTCACCTGGAGTGCATGCGCTGTGACTTTTGAGTCGACTCAAAAGTCACCTGGAGTGCATGCGCTGTGACTTTTGAGTCGACTCAAAAGTCGCCTGGAGTGCATGCGCTGTGACTTTTGAGTCGACTCAAAAGTCGCCTGGAGTGCATGCGCTGTGACTTTTGAGTCGACTCAAAAGTCACCTGGAGTGCATGCGCTGTGACTTTTGAGTCGACTCAAAAGTCACCTGGAGTGCATGCGCTGTGACTTTTGAGTCGACTCAAAAGTCACCTGGAGTGCATGCGCTGTGACTTTTGAGTCGACTCAAAAGTCACCTGGAGTGCATGCGCTGTGACTTTTGAGTCGACTCAAAAGTCACCTGGAGTGCATGCGCTGTGACTTTTGAGTCGACTCAAAAGTCACCTGGAGTGCATGCGCTGTGACTTTTGAGTCGACTCAAAAGTCACCTGGAGTGCATGCGCTGTGACTTTTGAGTCGACTCAAAAGTCGCCTGGAGTGCATGCGCTGTGACTTTTGAGTCGACTCAAAAGTCACCTGGAGTGCATGCGCTGTGACTTTTGAGTCGACTCAAAAGTCACCTGGAGTGCATGCGCTGTGACTTTTGAGTCGACTCAAAAGTCACCTGGAGTGCATGCGCTGTGACTTTTGAGTCGACTCAAAAGTCACCTGGAGTGCATGCGCTGTGACTTTTGAGTCGACTCAAAAGTCACCTGGAGTGCATGCGCTGTGACTTTTGAGTCGACTCAAAAGTCACCTGGAGTGCATGCGCTGTGACTTTTGAGTCGACTCAAAAGTCGCCTGGAGTGCATGCGCTGTGACTTTTGAGTCGACTCAAAAGTCACCTGGAGTGCATGCGCTGTGACTTTTGAGTCGACTCAAAAGTCACCTGGAGTGCATGCGCTGTGACTTTTGAGTCGACTCAAAAGTCACCTGGAGTGCATGCGCTGTGACTTTTGAGTCGACTCAAAAGTCACCTGGAGTGCATGCGCTGTGACTTTTGAGTCGACTCAAAAGTCACCTGGAGTGCATGCGCTGTGACTTTTGAGTCGACTCAAAAGTCACCTGGAGTGCATGCGCTGTGACTTTTGAGTCGACTCAAAAGTCACCTGGAGTGCATGCGCTGTGACTTTTGAGTCGACTCAAAAGTCACCTGGAGTGCATGCGCTGTGACTTTTGAGTCGACTCAAAAGTCACCTGGAGTGCATGCGCTGTGACTTTTGAGTCGACTCAAAAGTCACCTGGAGTGCATGCGCTGTGACTTTTGAGTCGACTCAAAAGTCACCTGGAGTGCATGCGCTGTGACTTTTGAGTCGACTCAAAAGTCACCTGGAGTGCATGCGCTGTGACTTTTGAGTCGACTCAAAAGTCACCTGGAGTGCATGCGCTGTGACTTTTGAGTCGACTCAAAAGTCACCTGGAGTGCATGCGCTGTGACTTTTGAGTCGACTCAAAAGTCACCTGGAGTGCATGCGCTGTGACTTTTGAGTCGACTCAAAAGTCACCTGGAGTGCATGCGCTGTGACTTTTGAGTCGACTCAAAAGTCGCCTGGAGTGCATGCGCTGTGACTTTTGAGTCGACTCAAAAGTCACCTGGAGTGCATGCGCTGTGACTTTTGAGTCGACTCAAAAGTCGCCTGGAGTGCATGCGCTGTGACTTTTGAGTCGACTCAAAAGTCGCCTGGAGTGCATGCGCTGTGACTTTTGAGTCGACTCAAAAGTCGCCTGGAGTGCATGCGCTGTGACTTTTGAGTCGACTCAAAAGTCACCTGGAGTGCATGCGCTGTGACTTTTGAGTCGACTCAAAAGTCGCCTGGAGTGCATGCGCTGTGACTTTTGAGTCGACTCAAAAGTCGCCTGGAGTGCATGCGCTGTGACTTTTGAGTCGACTCAAAAGTCGCCTGGAGTGCATGCGCTGTGACTTTTGAGTCGACTCAAAAGTCACCTGGAGTGCATGCGCTGTGACTTTTGAGTCGACTCAAAAGTCACCTGGAGTGCATGCGCTGTGACTTTTGAGTCGACTCAAAAGTCGCCTGGAGTGCATGCGCTGTGACTTTTGAGTCGACTCAAAAGTCGCCTGGAGTGCATGCGCTGTGACTTTTGAGTCGACTCAAAAGTCGCCTGGAGTGCATGCGCTGTGACTTTTGAGTCGACTCAAAAGTCGCCTGGAGTGCATGCGCTGTGACTTTTGAGTCGACTCAAAAGTCACCTGGAGTGCATGCGCTGTGACTTTTGAGTCGACTCAAAAGTCACCTGGAGTGCATGCGCTGTGACTTTTGAGTCGACTCAAAAGTCACCTGGAGTGCATGCGCTGTGACTTTTGAGTCGACTCAAAAGTCACCTGGAGTGGCATGCGCTGTGACTTTTGAGTCGACTCAAAAGTTGCCTGGAGTGCATGCGCTGTGACTTTTGAGTCGACTCAAAAGTCGCCTGGAGTGCATGCGCTGTGACTTTTGAGTCGACTCAAAAGTCGCCTGGAGTGCATGCGCTGTGACTTTTGAGTCGACTCAAAAAGTCGCCTGGAGTGCATGCGCTGTGACTTTTGAGTCGACTCAAAAGTCACCTGGAGTGCATGCGCTGTGACTTTTGAGTCGACTCAAAAGTCGCCTGGAGTGCATGCGCTGTGACTTTTGAGTCGACTCAAAAGTCGCCTGGAGTGCATGCGCTGTGACTTTTGAGTCGACTCAAAAGTCGCCTGGAGTGCATGCGCTGTGACTTTTGAGTCGACTCAAAAGTCACCTGGAGTGCATGCGCTGTGACTTTTGAGTCGACTCAAAAGTCACCTGGAGTGCATGCGCTGTGACTTTTGAGTCGACTCAAAAGTCACCTGGAGTGCATGCGCTGTGACTTTTGAGTCGACTCAAAAGTCACCTGGAGTGCATGCGCTGTGACTTTTGAGTCGACTCAAAAGTCGCCTGGAGTGCATGCGCTGTGACTTTTGAGTCGACTCAAAAGTCGCCTGGAGTGCATGCGCTGTGACTTTTGAGTCGACTCAAAAGTCGCCTGGAGTGCATGCGCTGTGACTTTTGAGTCGACTCAAAAGTCGCCTGGAGTGCATGCGCTGTGACTTTTGAGTCGACTCAAAAGTCACCTGGAGTGCATGCGCTGTGACTTTTGAGTCGACTCAAAAGTCACCTGGAGTGCATGCGCTGTGACTTTTTGAGTCGACTCAAAAGTCGCCTGGAGTGCATGCGCTGTGACTTTTGAGTCGACTCAAAAGTCGCCTGGAGTGCATGCGCTGTGACTTTTGAGTCGACTCAAAAGTCACCTGGAGTGCATGCGCTGTGACTTTTGAGTCGACTCAAAAGTCGCCTGGAGTGCATGCGCTGTGACTTTTGAGTCGACTCAAAAGTCACCTGGAGTGCATGCGCTGTGACTTTTGAGTCGACTCAAAAGTCACCTGGAGTGCATGCGCTGTGACTTTTGAGTCGACTCAAAAGTCACCTGGAGTGCATGCGCTGTGACTTTTGAGTCGACTCAAAAGTCACCTGGAGTGCATGCGCTGTGACTTTTGAGTCGACTCAAAAGTCACCTGGAGTGCATGCGCTGTGACTTTTGAGTCGACTCAAAAGTCACCTGGAGTGCATGCGCTGTGACTTTTGAGTCGACTCAAAAGTCACCTGGAGTGCATGCGCTGTGACTTTTGAGTCGACTCAAAAGTCACCTGGAGTGCATGCGCTGTGACTTTTGAGTCGACTCAAAAGTCACCTGGAGTGCATGCGCTGTGACTTTTGAGTCGACTCAAAAGTCACCTGGAGTGCATGCGCTGTGACTTTTGAGTCGACTCAAAAGTCACCTGGAGTGCATGCGC